GGAGAATTGCTTGAACCCAGGAGGCAGAGGATGCGGTGAGCCAAGAGCGTGCCATTGCACTCCAGCCTGGGTGACAGAGTGAGAGTCTGTCTCAAAAAAAAAAAAAGAGTTGAACTAATAACTAAAGCTGGACCAATGTCATTCTTCCAGAAAATTGCATTTTAAGTGAACTCAGAAAGGAAAAACAGTTAGAACTAAATTATTCCAATGATGGTCCTTTCAAGAGAGTATTCATTTCTTCTAGGTTTCTGTGGTTCATAATCAAAGTCTGCTAGCTGTTAAGTTCCCTATTTGAGTATTTGATTGTATATTGTCTTAGATCATGATTTACAGGTTTGGGATATGCACATTTTATTTTGCCAGCTGGATGCTATTTATGCTCCCTGAAGAGCACAAACAAGGTTGGGTCTTTATTGTTTGCATTATTCCATAGAATTCAGCACTCATGTAAGTACTCAATAAATATTATGTAATGAGTAGCAGACCAATCTAAAAAACTTCATTTCTACAAAATATGATTTGCTAGCCAACTTATGTCCTTTCTGAAGCAAGGGGGTAATAAATAAATTTTTAACTGCTACAATTTAATAATTTTCTTGGGTATGACAGCTGTCTTAAACACAGCTTACAATTGATACCAGAAAGGGTCTGGATCCAGACCCCAAGAGTGGATTCTTGAATCTTGGGCAAGAAAGAATTGAGTCCATACAGTAAAGTGAAAACAAGTTTATTAAGAATGTAAAGGAATAAAGAATGGCTACTCCATAGGCAGAGCAGCCCCAGGGGCTGTTGGTTGCCCATTTTTATGGTTATTTCTTGATTATATGCTAAACAAGGGGCGGATTATTCTTGCTTCCCCTTTGTACACCATATAGGGTAACTTTCTGATGTTGCCATGGCATTTATAAACTGTCATGGCACTGGTGGGAGTGTAGCAGTGAGGATGACCAGAGGGACACTCTCACTGCCATGTTGGTTTTCATGGAATTTGGCTGGTTTCTTCACTGCAACCTGTTTTATCAGCAAGGTCTGTATGACCTGTATCTTGTACTG